GAGCTTCTAAAGCAAGCTCAGTGGCTAATTAAAAGATCCTGCCCTGCTCTAAGGCGCTTCTGTCCTCAGGAGCCACATGCATTATTGTGGAAGAGGACATTCAGTGCCAACTGAGTTACTCCAACCGGAGCTGAAGCTCCGTCTTACAGAACTTTTAACTTGAAACAATTTCTAAGTGGGAAGATTGGTTTGCAACTACATTCAAGATTTGGACAATGATCCTTGTTTAATTTCCTCTCCAAAGGAACCGAGCCCAGTTTAACTAAAAGCTAATTGTTCAGCTGTAAGTAAGACTAAGTTTTCCCTTAGAAGGCAATGGTGAGCCTGAAGCTTCCAGTAGGCAGAGCCATAAATAGTGGCAGGAAAGTCCTCAGGAGAACTTTCATAGGGGCATCTGAGAGACATGGTCATTGGGATGGGACAGAAGAAGTGCACACACCCACGTAACAGTGGGTAGGTGATTGTCCATCAAAAGAATGATACTTAAGTCTCATAAACCCCTCGTGTATGTGTTTGTTTTGTCAAGATTAATAATGATGTACGGTTCATTAACAATTATAATATATGCTGACTGCATTCCTAGGGTAGGTTTACCATGAGTCACAGACTTATGATTTAATCAGTTATAAGAAAAAATAATTCACCTCTGAAAACCAATGAACTGTAAGAAATATAATCAATCGTCCAAATGTAATCTATAACCCACTCATATTTTTGTAGTTTGTCCTCCCTTTGCCCCTTTAAAACTGTCAAAGTCCCAGGTTGGGCACATGTGGGACCAGGGACCTAAGTTGTGCTTCCAAATTTGTAAATCGAATTTATAATTTTTTTCATTTTTATTTTTTTTCTTGGTTATTGTAATGATAAAAGAGCTTTTTACAAGCTGAATTTTTCTCAATAGAAGGAAGTACATAGTTTCTCAACGGAAAGACACGAAACTGAATGGGAGCAAATATTTGCATTCAGCATATCAGTAAAGATGTATCTTCAAAATATATTTTTTAAAAACTCACTAATATCAACAACAATAACAAAATCCAAAACCTCTATTAAAAATGATGAAAGGGAAATGGAGTGACAGCACAGTCTTTTGGATGCTTGATGGCATGGCCTTACCTAGGTTCAGTACCCGCCACTTTATATGGTTCACCAAGTTCCTCCAGAGTAATCCCTGAGTAACACTGAGAGTGACCTGAAAACAACAAATGGGGAGAAGAAATAAACAGATCCTTCTCTGAAAATGACAGGTAAATGGCCAATAGGAACATGCAAAAGTGCTCTCTATCAGTTATAGCGAGGGAAATTCAAATTACGATGACAGTGAGATATAATCTCACATGGGTAAGAATGGCACTTATCAAAACAATAAACTGGGAACAATCTCTTGGTAGGGTTGTGCTTAAAAAAATGAAAGACGGAAACTGTGACCCACTACTGGTGGGAACATTTCCTGGTTCAACCTCTGTGAAGACCAATCTGGAGATTTCTCATAAAAATTAAGACCAGCACTATCATATGACTCAACAATCCAGCTTGCTGTTATCTACCTCAGGACACAAAACATGTTCATTCACAAGGACACATCATACCATCATTCACTGCAGCCCAGCACTCAGCACAAGAACCAGGGAGGGTGCCCAAGAACAGTGATAATACTGAAGGGGTAGTACACGCACTTATTGGGACACTCAGGAGTTACAAGAAAAAATTAAATCAGCCCCAGAGAACATTATGCTAAGCCAAGTAAGTCTAGAGAAGAAAGACAGATGAAGGGGATCTCACTCATTGGTGGTATATAGAATGACAGGACAAAAGGATGCAAGGGATAAAATATCTAGATTACTTTGGCCCTTAGATAAAAGAACCAATGATAGGACTAAGAGAAACTGGAAAGCAAAGAAACAAGAGGCAGTCTATGAAGAGACAAACAGGAGGTCAGGAGGTACCACAGGCAGGGGGTAGGGTTTTAGGACATGTAGGCACTGTAGAGGTATGGAATATCTGTATCTGAACCACAGAACCAACAAGACTGACAGCATGAGATCCAATCTACAACTACAACTAAATGTGTTCGGTCAAGGAGGCAGCTGGGGGTGGCGGGGGAAGGAAACTGAGGACACGGGAGGGAAATTGATAGAGATGATGGGATTCTTGTTCAAACAGTGGATGCCTAAAACTCAACTTTGAATAACTTTGTAAATCATGATGCCTAGGTAAAAAACTAAAGTGTGGGGAAAAGAGAAGAAAGAGATAAAAAAGGAAGGAAGGAAGGAAGGAAGGAAGGAAGGAAGGAGGGAGGGAGGGAGGGAGGGAGGGAGGGAGGGAGGGAGGGAAAAAGAGAAAAAGGAGGAGAGAGAAAGAGAGAGAGAGAGAGAGAGAGAGAGAGATGGATCTAGGAAGCAGGGATAGGCAAATGGTTCAACATATCATCTCCAAAAGTCCCACAGAAAAAATTTTATTTCCCTCCCTGAATCCTGAACTTCGCATATTTGCAATTTTTATAGCCCACAGAGATGCATTTTATTAGATGACTCACCAGGAATTCAATTAAAATTCAGGTATAATCTATTGCCACACACCAAATAAGGAGCCCCTGTGTAAATAGTAACTATAGTCCTGATCAGAATAAGAAGGTGGGATTTAGACCACATATGCAACTAAAATTACACATAGAAGCGAAGAGATCAACGTGAGCCTTTCTGATGCTTCCTGTCCTGATCTATGGGTAACCTCAACCAAATGAAATATATGAAAGGCTGGAGTGATAACACAGTGGTAGGGCCTTTGCTTTGCACGTGACCAACCGGGGCAACCCAGGTTCGATTTCTCTGCCCCTCTAGGAGAGCCCGGCAAGCCCGGCAAGAATATCTAGCCTGCACGTCAGAGCCTGGCAAGCTCCCATGACGGATTCGATATGCCAAACACAGTAACAACAAATCTCACAATGGAGACGTTACTGGGCCCATTCAAGCAACTCAATGAACAACAGGAGGACAGTGCTACAGTGCTAGAGTCAGTTCTGCTAACACTTTGATACTGGAGTATAAGGGGAAATTATGGCTGTCTAGTATGTAGTGTGTCTAGTGGAGGAGGGAAAGGGTAAATACCAATTGTTCTAGCTTAGTGTCAATGGATAGTACTGAAATTCTCTCTCTCTGTCTCTCTCTGTCTCTCTCTGTCTCTGTCTCTGTCTCTGTCTCTGTCTCTCTCTCTCTCTCTCAATCTCCCCCTTTCCTCTTCCATCTCTGAGACTCCCACCAACTAGGAGTTTCTCCATGAATCTGTGTGCTGAAACAATCCAATAAGGTGCAGGAAGGAATTATGGACAGAGGCCCCCATAAACATGACCCACTGTGCGCTTAGGCTTGGTGAAGCATAATCAAGAAATCCCCAGGCACTTTCCTCTGAGCCCACCACCATAGTTACCCCAAAGTTCTACTTCCTACTGGCTACCCTGGGCCAGTGACAGTGAATCACAGAGAATGGACTCTCCTTCCTCAAGTACCCGGGGTTACTCAGAAGTTCAAGTTAGGCTTCAACACAATTTATTGAACTTGTCAAAATTTAAAGTTATACATGTGCTTCCCTAGACCTAAAAAAAAAATTAAAATTTCTCCTCAGAACATCACTGTGACTTAAAGCTTATTGTCAATATTTCCTATTTTCTTTTCTTTTTCTCCAAGCAAAGTATATTCTGAAAGCAAAGCAAACCAAACCAAACAGAAGCCAAACATCTCTTGTTTGTTCTCTTTGTCTTCCTCTGGAAGGGCTTGAAGCAGTAGAATGAGTTGAGCAACACACTTGTTTTTCTTTCCTGTCATTTATGGTGCTTATAAACAAACATGATGTTATTGCTCTGTAGAATATCTCTAGTCCTGTGCCTTGCAAAACATGAATCGCACTTAAACAATCCCAGGGGACAAAGGCTGCAGAAATTTTAAGTAAGAAAACAAAAACAAAATCCTTTACCACCTAAATCAAATCTTTGCTGAAAATATTGAAGGGTAGATTTTAATTAATTACCAACTGGATATGACCCTTTCCGTATTCATTCCCCAGTGAGAGAAGAAAACTTTCAAGTAAGTTTATGTGAGGATATTTCACATTTCCTGCAGCACACGAAGCTCAGTTATTTAGGATACTGTTTTGGGTATTGCTCTTGAAATTAAAATTTGAAGAACACAAACATCAGTATTTCAAGTATTCCTCTAGGCTGCTTTAATTATGTGTTATTATCATAATACTTTTGACAGAGCTTTTGGAGAAATATACTTAATGGCATCAATAACAGAAATTAATTATCCTTCTGAATTAGTGTTGTGATTTTATGTACATTTAAAGTAACTATCCTGGTTGTGATTCTCTTTAGCTCTATTACTTACATGGAAATGTCTAGACTATTCTGGGGATTATAATATTCAAATCCTAAGCATTCTCTCTCTTTCTCTCTACTAGGAATAAAATGCCAAACAGAAATTAATACTAACATATTTAATTACTACCTTTTTATTTCTACTTTTGACTGTTGTTACATCTGACCATTCTCTGTTCTTAATTGTCAGCAATGTCTACTTATTGACTTTCAATTAGAAGAGCAGGATTATTAACGGTGCTGTGGAGAGAAGGGGCTCAGGAGAGTTACCAAGACATTCAGGAATGCAGTGCTAACCATTTGTCCAGATCTTCACTTTAAGGAAACTTGACCCCAGGTCACTAGGCACAAACCATTTTTCAACCACCATGTCTTCAGACTCACTGGAATTAAACTTGGTGATGCTTCGTTTTGAGAGGATGTGAAATTTCTGGGGTCCAGAAAATATGAACTTGGACCAGGAGAGAAGCACGATCATATGCTCCTGAGTCTGCAATTCGGCTTTTGGGAATGAGGACTTGGCCAGTATGGATCTTGGTCACTGGGATTTTTCAAAGACACCAATATGTCCGTTTGGAACCTAAGACTGGGGACAGTATGAGGATAAATATTAATGCCCAACCCAAAGGCCAGTCTCCAGGGTGACTTAGGGTCACCTAAATAAGCAACAGGGCACAGGCATACCAATTAGACTGCAGTTTACAGCCACTGCACTTTCAGCCCACGGGGAAAAGAGCACAGTCAGCTTAATTGGCTGACGATATCCTAATATTTTATAGGACTTGTGACCGGAGCTCATTTGATACACAGATGAACAAATGAAATTATAAAGTTCTCATTTCAGAATTTCTGAGGTATACACATCTCGGGCCTTCTGTGCAATTTTATGATTTTAAGACACTGATGACTTAAGTTCTTCCTCCTGGTTTTAAGACTATGTGCTAATGTTAGTTTGTTTTTTAAGACCACGAACATGCATGTATCTATGAATATATCAATAAAGCTTGTTATGAGAAACATATTATGAAAAAGATATCATTCCCTGAGAAAAAGCAACATCATATAGAAAATATGATTCTTATTTAATGTTCAGAAAAAACAGTCAAGCTATGTGTATCATGGAAAGAACTCAAAGAAATTCTGTGTGCATTTGTAGGGGATAGCAAATACTTATTAAGACAACTCATATATACTATACCATTGCTAATTCAAAAATGTTATCCCACTATTATTGTTTTAATGTAAATTCAAAGTAATTGACTATAAAAACAGACACATAATTTTTAGTAACTTCACTTGACAATCAGCTAGGATTTATTGCATTTCTTTAGCCTTGTTCAGAGTCCTGAATTATATTCTGTGTTAATTAAAACTGCACATACCAAAAGATGGAAAAAAAGATTAGACCAATTTAATAAGGATAAAGTTGGTGAATTACATTTCAGCCTAATGACATGGCATACTCCAATTCTCCTTAAAGGACTGTTTGATGCCCCTAATTAACTGGTCATTAGTGACATCAATCCCCTGCTGCTTTTAATCAAAATTCTAGCTTACAGCACATGTAACACTAACTACGCTTTCAGGCTCATATATTACCGTAAAAATTTCCCTCTTCTGGTAGGGATAGCAAAAGCTACTTAAATTTCAGCTTCTTTGCTACTTTCAAGGGAAGAAATGGATAGGATGAATTGGTATCCACCATTGCACTGCTCTTCTTAGAAATTACCACAGGAATTTTTAATATTTCCTAAAATTAAATATTATGTAGATCAATTAAATGTCATGTAGACAATTCATTTTATGTATTGAGAAACTGAGCAAGCATCAGAAGATATGAGCATTTATCAAATAATAGAATGAATACTAGTCTATGGTATATCGAACATCTCTCAACATTTGTCAAAAGATATTCAGTCAGATGAGCTAGACGTTTTAAAGACTGTCATTATATAGCAGGGTTATAAGTGCTTCACATAATAAAAATATATAGTTTCTAAAATAATAAATGTAAAAAATATTTTAACTATTAGTAAACTCTAATAAGTATTTTCATAACAGAATATAATTAGAATTAGTCATAAACCTATCTTTGAGATTCAAACAACGTCTTTATAACTCTAAAATTGTTCATTTTCCAGGCAATCTCTCACTTGGCACACACACTTTTTTATTATCCTTCGTTTGCCAACTCTTTCCATTGACAAATCTCTTCTTCTTCAGCAGGTCACTAATAGATTATGCCTAAAAATTCCACTGTGGTAATAGATAATCCAATAGTTCTTTGTTTCAGAAAAGAAATAGCTACATCCTTCAAAGTTCCCAGTCCCACTCAGCTATGGGGAAATGGTTGAAGCAAAGAGGGGTGCCATTCTTACAGAGCTGGATTGTCTAGCAGGACATGTGAAAAATGTAAGCACCTCCTCACCATCCTAGTTTCAGCCTTGTTTGTCTTTTCTTTCCTCTCCTTCCAGATCTTTGAGAATCGTGTCTCCTGCAGAATGCAACCATAAGAGTTATTCATCCCTTTATTCATTAACTTGTTTTGAATGCACCGACAGGGTAAGGGGCTACTCCTTGCTTGGTCTTGAGGATCTTTCCTGGTAGTTCTCAGGGGACTGTGAGGTGCTGAGAATCAAATGTGGGTCCTCTACAAGTAGAATAAGCACCTAGTTTGCTGAGCTATCTCACCATACCTGCCCAAGAGTTTCATATTCTTTTAAATTCTCTAAATATCCTCCAACGGAACAGACTTACAGAGATAACTGTGAGTGTTAAATTTGAGCATGCAAAACTATACTCTATATTAAACTCTGAACTCTATGAAGCCTGTGTAAAGCCAGCAAACCTTTGCAAATTTAATGAATCCAATCACTGTTTAACATTAGATTTATTAAATAGAGTTATGTCTTTTTGAGGATAGTAAATATAGGAACGATGTGTTTATTGTTTAGCACAATTACATATATTTTTAATATTTTTAATTAAAAATATTAGAGCAAAAGCCCAGAATGGAAAGGGTGTTGCCCCATTCACCCTCTCCTCTCTGGAAAGAAAGATGGCGACTGCATGGGAGCCTTGTGGACAGCAGGTATGAGCCGAGGGTGTGGGGGCGACTAAAACCTCATGGGAAGGGGGGCGTTCTGGTCCGTCCTTCACGCCCTACCGAGGTCACCAGTTGCCCCCCACGAGCGGCTCTCCAGCACGGCCACAACTCCAGAGCACAGAAACCAATCTCTTAATTATCTGACTTTCTGTAGAAATACTTCCAGGGTTAACAAGTAAAATAGCGGAAATCTAACAACATTTAGTTCTTGAACCCAGCTGTAGAAAGCAAATCATTTCATAATGCTTTTTCAGCATGTCTGATTTGGGGGGGTGGTAAACTCTAAATAATAGTGGTGCATCTTTTATTGAAACAGTGAATCTGATCAAAGCAGATAGAGTGTTAACTAGAATTCATCTGCCTCGCAGGCATTGGGAGGGGTGGAGGGTGGGGCTTTATTGGGGTTCTTCGTGGTAAAAAATAAGTATTGGTAAAGGGAAATGTATTTGATATTTGCATGACTGAGACCTAAACCTGAAAGCTTTGTAAATTTTCCCACAGTGATTCAATAAATAAATAAATTATTTAAAAAAATAAAAATAAAATAAATAAATAAAATACAACATGTTTTGAAGGCTGAAAAAAAATTAGAGAAAAACAAATTTTAGTTTGTTTCATGAGTTAAGGATATAGTTAGGCTAAAATTCTGTATTTTGCATATTAATCTGGAAGCACTTAGAAGTCTCATAGTCTTTGTTAGGAATATTTATTTAAATATATACTTTGTATGTAAGTACTCTAGAATACCAGTTATAAATAATTAGCATCAATTATTTGATGCTTCCCCAATATTTCTACATTCTATATATGATAGTATATTGGAGATTATTAGCAGGGCCAAGAAAATAAAATTGATTTTTTTCTGATTTAGGGGCATGAATCAGTCCATATTTTCTACCTCATGACAAATACCTCTTTTAGAAATTTTGTGGAGTTTTGTGGAGGGCAGTTTAAGACCTACAGAACTAGTATAAAGATTACAGAGTTTGCCTTACAAGAGGCTAACCAAGGTTTGATCCCTGGCACCACATATGGTCCCCTGAGCACTGCTCAGAGTGATTTCTGGGCATGAAATCAAGAACACTTGTGGATGTGGCCAAGCTCTCTCCGCTCCCTGTCCCAGGGTCATTTTTAATAACTTTTCTGACTTTAAGCACTGCCCACAGTTCTGAAAAACTATTTCTATTCAGAAATAATTGAGACACTTGATACACCGTTAGAGTGAGACTGAAAATGTGTGAAAATGTGGTACTTACCCAAGTCTTCTTTATTGTTTCAGAATAATCTATTTAGTATTACATCCTGGGCTGGAATGATAGCACAGCAGGTAGGGCATTTGCCTTGCACGTGGCCGACCTGAGTTCGATTCCTCTACCCCTCTTGGAGAGCTCGGCAAGCTACCGAGAGTATCCCACCTTCATGGCAGAGCCTGGCAAGCTCCCTCTGGCATATTTGATATGCCAAAAACAGTAACAACAAGTTTCACAATGGAGACATTACTGGGCCCACTCGAGTAAATCGATGAACAACAGGAGGACAGTGCTATAGTGCTGTGCACTATTACATCCCATAAGTTCAATTGTTCATTTTCATATGGCCATGATGTTCATTTATTCTACATAAAAAAGCATATTTTTCCAAACAAAAAGGACTAAACTGCCTTAAAATACATCTAGAGTTTGAATCTCCTTGTGATGGGTTGAAGTGTCGAACACTCCTTATCTTGATGCCACAGCGTATTTCCGGCTGAGTGGATCTTCCTACAGGTTGGGGGCGGGGGGAGGATCAGGGGAAAGGTTCAGTATATAGATGCCTTAAGAACACAAAGACACATGAAAAGTTTCTGCTGATTTATTATTGAATAGATTAATGCCACTCTTTTATATGTAGAGTGAATAGCAACACTTCATAAATGTTGAATCTTTATATATTCTGCACCTGTAAACATAGACCATTATTTTTCCATAAAAGTAAAACATTGCAGATCGCTTATAAACCTATTTATTTAAAGCATATGTTCTGTATTTGTCACAAACACAGGAAAATGAAGATTTAGAACTCTGATTTAAACAAACTTACAAGGCTTCTGGGACCAATGTAATCCTGGGGCGCAGCGACCAGAAGGCTGCAGAGTAGGTATCAGCCATGTGTGGGTGACAGGCTGGGTGGGTGGGTGGTAGGAACTGTCCCGGGGCTCACACTGAGGGAACTTCTCCAGTTCCTCACTGGTCTATGCGAGTGGTGACACCCAAAATTCTACTACAGAAAAGAGGAAAATGCTTATTTTCTCAGCAACTTGAAAATATGTTATCTGTTAACCAATATACACATTAATATTTTATTTCATATTCAAGCAAATACTATATTATTAAAATTATTGCAATTAAATGGTATTAAAGTAAAACATCACACATATCTATAAATTGTGCTTGCTTGTTTGGGAGACATATCTGGCAGTGATTAGGGCTTATTCTTGGCTCTGTGCTCAGGGATCGTGCCTGCGGGGTCAGGAAACATAAGGGGTGTCAGATCAAACTGGGGTCAACCCTGTGCATTGCAAGCTCCCTATCTACTGTGCAATTGCTCTAGCTCCATGTATCTCTATTAAATAGCACTGTAGCACTGTCCTCCCATTGTTCATCGATTTGCTCAGG